ATCAGAACTTACTTGTTAAATATCATGTAAGGTAAGATGAGAACGTCGTAATAAATGAGTATAGAGTAGCCGTCCACTGCACGTCGCCAGAAGTCCGGCAAGACAACACTTGGCACATATTCCCAGTAGACAAAGAACATCAACTCGAACACAGACACAACTGCGGCCTGCCGAAAATACGGAATCACAGAAATAGCAGAGGCTACTCAAAGAATTTTCAAGATTCCACCTAATTTCCGGTAGATAAGCCTGCGCCGATATCACCTAAAAACACTTCCAGTGGTGCTTGTATACTTGCGTACATTTAGAGGCGGCTACGAATATGACATTCGTTTTGGCATTAACGTTGTTCAACGCATATTTCTCGGTTGGAGAGCGCAGACGAGCAGAAAATAGGCGTCAAATAGCGCCAGCGCCGAGAATGAATGTCATATTCGTAATCAGGACACCAAATAACCTCTATATGGAAGTTTACACCAAATTTGGTGAAAACAGGCTAAAAATGAAAGTGATTTTCGTAATCAGGGCATCGATTACCTCTATAGGCAAATTTACGGTAGTTTCTAAGGTGTACAAAATTACACTGCACGAGCGGAGGTGGTTTTACGTGAAATCGGCGCGGGCTTATCTACCGGAAATTAGGGTAATTGCTCTTCAAGTATCTGGGACTTTAAAACTACATCACGCTTGTAGAGTTAAAGTTGCTCTTATTAAGTGAGTTGGAGTCGATGGACACCTTGTGGATTCCACTTTGCTCGGAGGATTCACGTTTCTCATCCATTTATGTATAATAGTCATTTTTAATGGAATGACGCGAATAAAAACACGCTCTCAGCTACACGCCTTCACATATGTACAGGGTGGGGCGTAAATATGGTGACAAAATAATTTTGTTCTATCTTCAACAATTTTAATCGAAATTGATATAAACAATAACAACATTTATACATATCATACAAACAAGAAATTACAATATCACTCAATATGGCCTCCTTTGGACTTGACAACTTCCTTCAGACGAGCCGGATACGCTTCGACTGCTGCCCGTATGACATCCTGTGGAATTTCATCCCAAGCTTTTCGTAGAGCAGCTTTCAACGATCCAATCGAACTGTTTTTAGCGCAGCCTTCTGCTCCAAGATCGACCAAATTGAGTAGTCCATCACGTTCAAATCAGGGGAATTAGCAGGCCAGTCTTCTGCTGCTATGAAGTTGGGCAAGTTGGCTCGGCACCACTTTGCACCAAACCGATCTGATGCGCCGTCTTGCTGGAAAATCCAATCACTCCCAGGAGTCCAGTTGACCACGACCTTCTTCAAAATTTCTTCGAGGTAGTAACTGGCGTCAATTTTCAGCCCCATTTCCACGAAAACCAATTTGCGGATACTCCTGCCCAAACCATTACCGATGCAGGATGTGAACTTCGAGTGACTGTTCTTCCGGCTCTGTCAGCTTCTTCGGATGTCCTAGAGAGCACACGAGAGTTTTGGCGGTTGAATACCCTGCTCGATCGTGATAAAACTTTTTCGTCGGTGAAGAGAGTCTTCAAATGCGCACCGTTTGCGGCCCTCTCCAAGAGC